ACTTGGTAAAGAGGAGTGAAGGCAGAGATGAGACCAGGTTTGTCCTGTGCTCATTGCTGATGCTGAGTGATGGGCACCTGGAGGTTCATTAGACTTGTCTCCAAATTTTCATGATCATAGATAGCATATATGTATTTCAAATATAAGTATATGGTTTAAAATTTTATAACTTTTTATATGTGTGTGTGGTGATATGAATGAAAATGTCCTCCATAGGCTCCAAGTGTCTGGATATTTTGTCCCCAGATGATGGCGCTGTTTTGGGAGGTCTTAGAAGGTGTGGCTGTCCTGGAGAGAGCACGTCACTGGGGGGTGGGCTTAGAGAGTTCTTAAGCCTTGCCAGATGTCCAGTCACTCTCTTGCTTCCTGTGCCTGCATGATGTGAGAGCTTAGCTTCTGCTGCTCCTGCTCCAGCCACCTCCAGCCACCATGCCTCCCCACCACGATGGACTGTAATTCCCCTGGAACTGTAAGCTCAAATAAACTCTTCTATAAGTTGTTTTGGTCAGTGTTTCCATCACAGCAACAGAAAAGTGACTAATACAGTGTATTTGAAAGGTTACATGAAATAGCCTTAGGTTAGGCTGGGTATGGTGGTGCATGCCTTTAGTTCCAGCACTTGGAAGGCAGAGGCAGGCAGATCTCTGTGAGTTTGAAGCTAGCCTAGTCTACATAGCAAGTTCGAGGCTAGTGAGGGCTACATAGTGAGACTTTATCTCAAAAAACCACACACACATATACACACACACACACACACACACACACACACACACATCCCTTAGGCTGTGATTAAGGGATTCCAGAATTGCTTTGAGTAACTGCACTCAAATAACATGCTGCTGAATTGAATCCATCATCTGTGTGTGTGTGTGTGTGTGTGTGTGTGTGTGTGTGTGTATACATGTTATACCACCTTCTTGTATGACTTTTTGTTACGTTTCCTAAGGTTTTCCACATGGATTTGGGATTTGAGGGCCCCAAGAATAGTCACTGTTTGAATTCTGAATTCATAACCCAAAAAAGAAAAAAAGAAAAGGTCTAAAAAGCATGGGCACATATGGGAGCTTTGGTTAACATTTTTAGCAGCTTCTATTTAAATGACATCTCTAGGAAGTTCACTGGGGCTTTTCTGAAGCCTTACATAATGGCTAGCAGCCCCTTGCCTCTGCAAAGGAACACCTGCTTCACAAAAGTAAACACCAGAACAGAACACCATTCATCAGCTGCCCAGACTCAGAACCAACCAGACGTGCAGCAACTTTCTAAAAACCCTCAAACCTGGCATTTCAGCCCATGGCCATCACTGAGAGCTGAGGAGAGGTGAGCACATAAAGGGGTGATTATTCCCTGTGCCAGCAAGAAGCAACGTTCTAGGTGGGCTGTCTGAACCAGGGCCACTTAGGAAAACAGCCTAGGCCATGGCAGTTCTCTTGAAGCTCTCAGTCAACAGAGGCCTGAGTGGAAGGGACAGAAGGGACCCAACATTCCCAGGAACCCCAGGCAGGGAAGTAGCAAGGCGATGAAATTAATCTTCAGATGCCCCCTGCCTTACCGTGGGGGATGCAGAAAGATGCTTCTCAAACCAAGAGTTTGATAAATATAAGATCTCAAATACACATACTTTAATGTCCTAATGTTCATCAGAGATTATTTAGCAGTCTTTAAAAACTGCCTTCAACGTGAAAAATAGGCCATTGATTCATGCCCTGGTCATTACGTAAGCATTCAGTGTGTGCAAAGCTATGTAGAGGTGTGCTTGAGGGCTGGGACCAGTCACAGCAAACCTTGTCCTCTTTCCTGTCTTCTCCACCATCTTTGGCCTTAAAGTCAATGACTCTGAAATCTAGAAGTACCAGAAATCCACCTAGGGCAAAAGTGGTCATTGGATTGGGGCTAGTGGGATGGCTCAGTGGGTGAGGGCACCACACAACCTGAGTTTGATCCCTGAAATCCATATGGTAGAAAGAGAGAGCCTGTTCCCTAAAGTTGTCCTCTAACCTACACACACACACACACACACACACACACACACACACACACACAGGCACACACACTGAATAAATTTAATTTAAAAAATTAAAAATAGGACTGGAGAGATGGCTCAGAGGTTAAGAGTACTTGTTCTTTTTTTATGCCGGACATGGTGGCACACACCTTTAGCCCCAGCACTTGGGAGGCAGGGGCAGGTGGATCTCTGTGAGTTCAAGGCCAGCCTGGTCTACATAGTGAGTTCCTGTCTCAAAAAAACCAAAAAAAAAAAAAAAGAGTACTTGCTATTTTATTAGATCTGAATACTTATGTTCCAGCAGCTCACAAACAGCTGTGGCTCCAGTTCAAGGGATCTGACACCCTCTTCTGACCTCCACAGGCACTTGTACACACATGTGCACATATAATCACACAGATAACACACAAATGAAAAAGAAAGTCTTTCTTTAAAAATTAAAAATAAAGCTATTATAGCAGTCACTGTTTAGATGTTCTTGCTTCCTTCTGTGTGTGTGTTTTTTAGTAGATGGAATACCACTGAAATTGGCCAATAGCCCATGGAAAACAGATGATGCAGAGACCCAAAAGAGGAGGAAGATCATCCCACACCTACCACCCCCTCCAAGGCTCAGGGATTTTTGCAGAAGAGGTTGGTGGAAAGAATGTAAGAGCTGGAGGAAGGGATGGAGTGTTAACTGGAAGTGTCCTCTGACCACTATGCCCGCAAGCTATAGTCACACCTCCTTCCCATGCTCATCAAGGAATCGAGGGAGGAGTCAGTTACCCCTCCCACCCAATTAGTTGACCTTAGCTACTTGTGGGAGGAGGGGCAAAGGGTATATAAGCTGAGAACACCAAGATGCACCTCTCACCATTTTGTGCAGCTGCTGGGAGGTCACAAGATCTGTATTTGAGTGTGGACTTTACGGCGCAGCCATAAATATAGGGCATCCACTCTTCTGTAAATAAACCCCTTCCTTATGCTCTGCTAAAATAATAATTATAATAATAATAATAAATAAAATATTTTAAAAAGAAACTCACAACTGAAAATAAATAAATAAAAAATTAAAAATAAGCCAGGTGTGTTGGCATATACCTTTAATCTTAGCACTCAGGAGGCAGAGGCATGTGGTTCTCTGTAAGATCAAGGCCAGCCTGGTCTACATAGCAAGTTACAGGACAGCTGGGGCTGCAGGGAGATCCTCTCTCAAGAATACCAATAAATAAATAAATAATAAATAAATAAATAAGTAAATAAAAATTAAAGTGGGCATTGGAACACAGGCATGCTCGTTCATTTGTGTCTTGCCCATAGCTATGTTGGCATTGAAAATTATGAAGTTGAGGAACTGCAAAAGAAATCATGTGTCCCACGGAGTCTAAAATGTTTACCTCTGCAGACAGTTTTCTGACCTTGACCTGGTCTCCATGAGTCCTTGGGACAGCAGGATCAGCATCACTTGGGTGCTTGTCAGAAATGCAGAATTTAAGGCTGCCCTAGACCTTTGAACTTGCCTCTATATTGGCCAAGATTACTTGTTAAACATACAGACTTTTGGTTCCCACCCCACTCTACCAAGTCAGAAGCCTCAAATGTCTTTGATTCAGGTTTCCCCAGTGAACCTCAATGTGGAGGCTACCTGAAACGAAAAGATGAATGAATAATGACTCCTACCTATCCAGGGCAAGGGCTCCCCCTTCAGGCTCCAATTCCACATTGTCCAATTCCACATTGTGGGGAAAGTTGACAGCTGAAGGCCTGCAGCTGAATGCCTCTTTAGGAAGTGCCCTCTATGGAAGGTGGTACCTATAACCAAGTTCTTGTCCATTTGTCTGCCCAATATAGACTAAAATCACTGAAGGGCCATCCCAGCTCTCCAAATGAGCTGCTGAGGTCCCTATTGCAGTAGCCATTCAACTGCTTCCGTGTTCACCCACATCTGTCACCTGGTGTCCCTTGCACCCTTAAAAGTGCATCTCAGAGGCCTGGAGAAATGGCTCAGTGACTAAGAGCATTGGCTGCTCTTGCAAAGGACCCAGGTTCAATTCCCAGTACCGGTTGGCAGTTGACAACCATCCATCCATAACTCCAGTTCCAGGAGAATCTGACTTCCTCTTCTGATCTCTGTTGGCATTGCACAATACAGGTGCACTTACATAACATGCAGGCAATACATTCATACACATAAAATAAAAATAATAAAAAATAATTTTTAAACGTACAGCTCAGATTCTGTGAATCAGTCCTAAGAGCATACAGTAGGATAAATCACAGTTATAAATCAGAAAATTCAAAAGAGAAGAAGTATCCCAAAAAGCATGTGTTAGAAGGGTCCTGTGATTGAGCTGTGAGGGCAGGTCTTTGGGGGCAGGGGCAGTGGGATACAGAGATTCAAAGAGCTCCCTGGTTAAGTCGAGTGGAGCTAGTGGGTGACAAGGCTGGAGAGAAAGCTTTAAGGGCCAGGCTGACATTTGCTTCTTCACATCTAGTGAGCAATGGGGAATCATGACAGACTTTGAGCAGGACAGCCTGACAATGATCCAGTTGTGTCAGGATATCCCCTGGCAATAGTGTGAATGGAATTGGAATGGGGGTAGGAAGGTCCAGTCTCGAAGCTGTCGGAAACATCTATGTAAACAATGAAAGTAGAGCTAGCAGCCTGGCCAAGGAGAGCGGAGAGGAAAGGCCACAGAGAATGAGGCAGGCCGAGGTTCTACACCCCACCCCCCATCTTACAACTTTCATGCATTTAGACAAGTCCCATCACCTCTCTAACGCCCCATCTGTAAGACAGAAATAACAGAATTAGATGATTACTATGCCATGCTTGGCACACACTGGGCACCCAAAGAAGGCAGGCCATGCTCATGAGACAGTGACTGCATTCATGTGTGCCTGCACACACATCAGGTTATCAGCCCATCAAGCAAGTTAGAGTCACAAAAACAGCTTGACTGTCTGGAGGGTGATTGGTTACTCTGTTTTGTTTGGTTCTCTCTCTCTTTTAAATGAGAGAGCATGAGCACAGTCCCCCACTACCACAAATTCTGCAGTTGAGTTTCCCACATTTGGGGAAATTGCAAGGGTCAGCATATCCAGAGTGCAATGTATAAGCCTCGCCCTGGGAAAACAGCCTTTGTGATCACAGTATCTCTCCTGCCGGGTAAGTATTGGAGAGTGGTTCTTGGAGGAAATAATTGAATGTGGCCTTGGTTTCAGACATGTTTGTTGTTTACTGAGGTGTTTAAACCTGCATCCCTCCTTTTAGGAAGGGTGCACAGGCCACTGCAGCTTCTTTGTAACCAATGTCATGCCCTGTTGTCATGGCAACCAGTTTTCCCAACAGCCCTGCTGTTTTCCACAAATCTGGTTTCCTCATGTGCTAAAGCCCACAAGCAAGGAAATATTTTTGTTTTGTTTTTTTCTAACCTTCCATAGGAAGTGCTGTCAGCTCTTCAGATTTGCCAACTATCTGGGGCTTCTCCCACAGAAGCCCCCATTCTGAGCATCAGCATGACCCTGCCCAAGAAACCTCCCCAAATGTTCCCACTCATGGGAAGCTGTTGCCGTAGAATATCAGCTGGTTCCTCTGTCTCTGAGCCATATTAACCCTGCAGGAAAGGGAAGCAGATAGAAAAGGAATGCCCACCACCCACTTCATGAACACAGCACAGAATTCAATGTCAAAATACCATTCTATGAAATTTAAGGTTAGCGCACTGTTGCATTTTTTAAGTTGTTTTCGGGGGTGAGGCTATAGCTCAGTGGTACATTGTGTGCCTAGCAATGTAGATGGTCCTGGATTCAAACCCCAACACCTCAAAAATAAGTTATTTCAGCATTAGAATATTTAGTTAGTTTGTTATGTATTTCTTTATACAGGTTATCATGTAGCCCAGGCTGGCCTCCCACTCACTATGTAGCAGAGGATCACCTCGAACTTCTGATTCTCCTGCTTATACCTCTGGAGTGTGGGGATTATGAATATATGCCACCACACCAGTCTTGTTAGGTTCTGGGGCTCAGACCCAGGACTTCCTGCATACTAGGCAAGCACTGAGCTATATCCCCAGCACATGTAATCTTTTAGTAAATGTTAGCCTTAGGTATTCACTTGACCCATGACAATATTTTTAACTATCATTATAGCAATGTCTTAAACGCTACCAGCCATGTCACCTTAGTTTCTGGCAGACTTTCCCGCACTCCCACCACTACTTCCTTTCCTCCTTCATCCTTGCTCCTGCGAATCGAACCTCCTTCTCTAACCACAGCCTAAGAATGAGAGATGCAGCCACCCTGCTGGCTGCCTACCCAGTATCTGCTCTCTTCCCTTCTTACCCAAAAGGGCTGTGATGCTTTCCAGATCTCACATTTTCAGTGGAAGCACTGGTTTCCATGACACCTTTACTGCTAAGAACCTGTATCATACAGATCTGGTCATTGAGACCCAAGCCCAGTTCTTTGGGTACATGGAAAGCAGTTGTTCTCTGGCTCAGAAATGTAACCAGGGAGAATATACCTTTCTGCCCTTCCTCCCTCTTCTCATCTAAAGTAAGACAGTGTAGCATCTTGCAGCCAGGAGGTGAGATCCACGTACTAAGGATGGCAGAGCAGGAAACTCAAAGGAGCCTCAAGAGCTCCCAGAGCAGCTGCAGCCACCCACCCCAGACTTCTGGTGCAGACCCTCTACTTGCTAAACTGACCTTCTGTTCATGCAGCCAAACACAGTTTCTAACTGGTATAGAAAGAGACAAGAGTTTCCTTCAACAAATATCCACTCACTGGGCCCTGTGCTGAGTGCTTGGGCTACAACAATGGGTGAGTCAGTCCAACCCTTGACCTCATGGAATGAGGAAGTCAACTAAAAAACACTAGGTGAACGAGACAAAGACTGGTCTTAAGAAGGAAATAACCAGACAGGCACTGGGGAAGGCTGGTATCCCTGAGGAGTGACAGCCGAACTCAGAGCTGAAGGGATAGTTGGGGTTAAGCATGTAAAAGGATGTGACTTTTGTAGAGGAAGCACAGTCCAGCAAATGCCAAGGCCTGGTAATAGGAAAGGACTCCATGTATTCAAAGAACAGAAAGGAACAGTGTGGCTGGGACAAAATGAGAAAGAACAGGATAAACAATACTGGAGATGCAGCAGGGAATGAGTCAGGCAGAGCCCTGGGAAACAAGGAATGCGAATGGGATCTTTATTCTACATATAGTAGAGAAGGAAGTGATCAGAAAATACTGACCAAAAGAGTAACAGGACTTGCCATTGTGTTTAAAAGATGTCCCCTCTGTCAGTCATGGTGGTTACACTCCTGTTATATTAGCAGTCAAGGAGGACGGTGTGAGTTCAAGGCTACCCTGGGCTACATAGTAAGACACTGTCTCCAAAACAAACTGTTTTCCCTATCACATGAAAATGAATGTTGTACTGTCTTGTTTTTGTCAACCTGCCACAAACTAGAGTCACCAGGAAAGAGGGACTCTCAGTTGAGGAATTTCCTCCATCAAACCAACCTATATACATACCATGGGGCATTTTCTTGATTGCTAGTTGATGTAGGAAGGCCCAGCCCACTGTGGGCTACTGGGTAGTGGATCTGTGCTGGATAAGAAAATTGGTTGGAGGGGGCTGGATAGATGGCTCAGTGGTTAAGAGCACTGGTTGCTCTTGCAGAGGACCCAGGTTCAAATCCCAGCACCCACATGGCAGCTAACAACTGTCCGTAACTCCAGTTCCAGAGGAGCCAATGCCCTCTTCTGACCTCCATGGGCATTGCATGACATGGATGCACTTACACGCATGTAGGCAAACACTCATCTACATAAAATAAAAATAAAAATAAATAAATAAATAAATAAATAAATAAATAAATAAATAAGATTGGTTGGCATACCAATTTGTTGACATTTCTATGCTTTTTCTCCCCTTAGGCTGATATTCCAGAAAGTTACAGTCTCTGATGCTCAGCTACCATAGTCACCACTCCAAATCCCCATCCTCCTGGTGCTTCAGACCTAACCACCATTCACCACCACCCCATCCCCCCGCACATACACAACTTTTTCCTGGTATGTGGGCTCATGGACTGGGTTACATGGAAGAATGTAACTTTTCCTTTTTGTTGTTGTTGTTGTTGTTAAGACAGGGTCTCACTATGTGGCCCTGGAACTCTCTGTGTAGACCAGGCTGGCCTGGAACTCACAATGATCATCCTGCCTCTGCCTCCCTCCTGAGTGCTGTGATTAAAGGCATGTGCCACCACCCCCCAGGCTGTCTGTAGCTTTTCAACTCTATAATAAACTAAAAAGCACCCAGGCAAGTAGTCACCCTCTGCTAGCTATGGAGGGGAGGAGCTAGAGTTTCCTGCTTATGATTCGTCAATGAGCTCTAAAGGAACCTCATAATGAAAATGGACCATGATGATTTATTTCTTACATAGGTGACAGAAGAAAATAGAGAATTCACAGCAGCTCTTTGATTTATTTTGGTATTCAGAAGGAAAGAACAAGGTAACGCTGGGTCTGTAATATGGGAACTGTCCAAATAGAATTGCTGGGAGGTTATGAGGAGACCCCCCACCACCACCACCAAGTTTAGCGCATGGATTGCTAGAGGCACAGCGATCATCACTCATGTTCCTCTCCAGCAGTGACAGGTAGTGACAAGGGTATAGGAAGCAGAGGGACACAGTGACCCAAGGCTAAAGATTGTCATGACAAGCTCAGGCAACCCTGAGAGAGTGAAGGGGTCCTCACTGATAGCATAGACTCTGAGCCCTTCATACTTGTGGCTACACTCATTCCTTAATGATTTCCATCCCACCACATGAGAACTAAAGCCTAGAATAGCTGAGACCTGCTCAAGGTCACACAACTAATAACTATAGTTAAAGTCAGATTCCCAAACCACAGAACTATAGTGTCTCCAAGCAAAGTAGTAAGAAGGATGCTGGACAAAGAAGGGGAGAGGTCTGAGGACTCAGGGCCATAGTGCATGGGAGGCGCTGGCTTGGTAGCAAGGGAGGAAGTGTGGGATGCTTAGCCAGATCTCTCTGTGTGGTCCCATGAGTGTGGCTGCATTAAAGCATGGGACAGTGGTTTGGAGAAGATCAAGGAGCTCTTGGTTGGATCCCAGCTAAAAGGCATCTGGATCACAGCACTGAGTCAGCATCACCACCAAGGAAGGCTAACTGAATTCAGAATCAGGGAGAAATTTGCACCTTTTGTACAGCAGATGAGACTAAATCACTACTCAGCTTTTTGGCTTTACTTCCTTATACAAAAGTTTCATGACCAGGCATAGGCAGATATTCCACATCTGTCCTCTACTGAAATGGGGAGCAAGAGAGTCCCAAGTGGAAGCTTTTAGGGCAATTTTATTAGAATTTTAAAAAATCCTCAGGGCAGGTGAGCTGGTAATCAGCTGTCTTGAGAAGAATGGTGGGGAGAAGGAAAGGAAGCCACGAGGCAAGTTTACAGCCTGCATGGAGGGCAGACACATGGCAGCCACATGGCTGGGAAGAGGAAGCTTTAGAGGAAAAGTAAAGGAATACAAAATGCTGGGGGCAGCCCAAGCCTTAAAGAAAGCATGTTTAGAAAAGGGATAGGAAGAAGAGAAAGAGAGATTGCGCTTTTCTGAAGAATTCAGAAAATAGGGCAGACTTACAGAAACTTACATGTCTGTGGCTTTGCTCTAGGAGGGGGGATTCCAGGCAGGAAAAATTCACTCTCCTTAACACAGGTATTTCACCCATCTATTTAGCATAACTTAAGGTGAACCCACCTTCCTAGGGGTGGTCCTATGACCAGATGATTGGCCAGTGAAACTGGAAAGGTAAGTCTTCCAACAAATATACTAGAGATTTTATAGTCCTGATCAGTTAAACTTAGGGGGTTATTTGCAACTCTAACACTCGACCTAGAGATCCAGGAACAAGTGGAGTGGTACCAACCAGAACAGAGAATTGGTCAACCTGTCTGACCCCATGGTAAGACTAGGACAATAGAGCTGGTCCCTCCACCCAAACCCACACTTATGCAGAATTCATGTTTAGACATTCATAGACTATACCTCCCAGAAAACAGCTGGGGAGAATGTAAGACAGCCCCAGCCTACTGCAGGGTATAGTGGGATTACATACTCACAGTATGTATTTATCACAAGGCGG